CGAGGCCGTGGGCGGATCCGCAGGGCAGGAAGCCCCCTCCTTGCCCAATCTGATAGGCTCAGTCGCCCCCTTCCCTCCTATCCCTGACGCGGGGGGATCTGCTCCGCGCGGGGATTGGGCAGGCGTGTCTGTCAATCAAGCGGTGTGGGGGCTGTGGAGCGAACTGAGGCCGCTTCGCGAGGGGAAAGCGAGAGGGTAAGGAGCTCCTGGACTGAACTGAGACTTGTCGCTTTTGTCTCCCTGGCTGCTCTGGCTGATTACTTTGGGCCTTTCTCCTCTGCGCCACAGAAGAGACTCCACATCCGAAATGACTGTTTCCCTAGTTCAGCCCAACTGCTTTGGGAGCTTCCTTCTGATTTCTGCACCTGAAGATAGTCTTGTCAGCAGAAGGCTCTTGGGGGCGGGGATCGAAAAGGAAAACAAAACAAAAAAAAAAGGCCTGGAAATGGGGCCTGAGAGAAAAATGTGAGGCGTATGCTTAATCTGAGCCGCAAACCAAAATGAGCTGAGTCTGAGGGCCTTCGAAGTGCCCTAGTGCGTGGGTAGCTTCCCGTTTTGACTGCGGTAGCCTTGCTGTGAGGAGGACAGTGACCTTGGGTGTTAGGTCTGCCCTGCCACCTGTCATCAGGAAGTTGGTTCTACCCACACAGGCGCTGCACCACCACCACCACCCCCCACCCCGTCCCCTGCCTCGTTCCTTCCCAGACCTCTGTGGCTCTGCTTAGGCCTTGCCGCCTCAGGGAAGCCTGTTGGATGAGGCACCCTTCACGCTGCACAGGTATTTTCCCCATCCAAGCTGTTGAAAGAGTCTGTCCATATCCCTATGTAGATTGTAAACTCAGTTAAATCCGGATTCAATTTCTCCCTAGTGCCCAACATATGATAAAGCATGAGCAAATATTGTTTAAGGCATTAATGCATCTTCCATTCCCCTTTTTAATCCTGGCCCTGACTATAAGTCCCAAGAGTTTACACTTTTCTCTATTTAACTTCAAAATTACTCATTTGAGTCCTGATAGATGTATGTGATTTGCTTGCCTTGTGAAATCACCTGTGGTCCCTTCCCGGCCTCAAGTTGGCTAGGGCAAGTAGACCGTGAAACTCTGGGCCGCGGCTACTCTTGTGACTATATCCCATAGTTAGCATCTGAAGTGAATAGTGTAAGTGAATTTTGAATTTATTCTAAGGATCTAAATACCTTTGCATATTTTATCATGGCTGCTATAGACTGAATTGTGTTCCCTACCAAAATTCATATGTTGACGTCCTAACCCCCAATGTGAATGTATTTGGAGATAGGGCCTTTAGGAGGTAATTAAGGTGATAAAGAGTGGGGTCCTAATCCGATAGGACTAGTGTCCTTATAAGAAAAGACAGCAAAGAGTTGCTCTCTATCTTCACAGTGAGAAGACACAGTGAGAAGGCAGCGATGTGCAAGCCAGGAAGAGAGCTCTCACCAGAAACTAACAATGCTGGCACCTGGATGTGGAACTTCCAGCCTCCAGAAGGGTGAGAAATTAAATTTCTGCTGTTTCAGCCACCCGTTTTGGCATTTTGTTATAGCAGCCCAAGCTGACTAATACAATAGTATTATTTGTCGATATGTCTTATAAAGTTTATAGATTGATATATTATTATGTTCATTTTTGAAGCAGGAGAAATCATTGTCCAGAGTTTGAAACTATTTCTCCAAAGTCGCACAGTAAACTGTTAGCTACACCTGGCTCAATTCAATTCTAGTTACATATATAACATATGGGGTTAGGGGGTATGAATACAAATATAACAGGTGAAATAATCCTTGCTGTCAGGTAGCTTATATCACTGCCTTAAGTGAGAAAAATAAACTCAGAAAAATATGCTGAAGTTATGAGTTTAGATTTTAAGGGAATATGTATTTTGAATGGGCCAATGATCTGACCAGACCCTTCGCAAGATTTTGACCCAGATCTCTTGACTATTGTGTGCAACCTATTTAAGCAATAGAAGAAGTAAGGAAGAGAGCTTTTTCATAAAAGGATTTTAGTTCCCTGTAAACATGTGTTTTCCTTTTTATTTTCCTTTAAGTTCCCTCATCACCTGTTCTTACCAGAAACTCTTTAAAAAAAAAAAGAAACTGAAAAGGTACAAGAAAAAGAGAAATGAAGAAAAATAAGGAAACAGCAATGAGAGAGGAAAGCACTGGGTGGAAGGACAGATAGGCAGAAAATTATGTATGAAAGTGCAGTATGGTATACTAAGAAGGAATGGAGTCCATGTTCCTAAGGGGTGGGAGTTGTCCCAGAGACCTCCTGTCACACGCTCTGTCTCCCCAACTTCCAGATATAAACATGTGCTCTGCTTCTTCCTCTCTTTTAGCGGAACTCAAACCAAAAATGGAAATCAACCCTGCCAATTAGTTTTGAGTAGACTAGAGACTAGCCAGAATCAGGCACCAACATTTAGGTCAAAAATTATGACCTATGGGCTGGAAATGGGGCCTCAGATATGGGTAGCTAATCTATCTAGGATAAAAACATGTAAGCAGCTCACTTGATTCATCCCAAAGGAAAGAATTTGGGAAGAAAAGGAAAGGAAAAATGAGCCTCCATGTCTCAAGACCTTTCTCAGGAAACTATTGATGGCTTATAGTTAGAAATGATCTGTAATCACTGTAAGGCAGGATTATTTAAGACCAAAAACCCTACATACTAATCAGCAAGAAGTAACTAATCACAGGCTTGACTGTGAAGTATAGAAATTAGTGGGCCCTGGTAACTAAATTTAATTTCTGGATTGAATATTGTTATGCTTTTATGGGAATTAATTCGACAAAGCTTTATTAGTCCACTCTATGGAGGGTACTACAATAGGTCCCAGAGATCTAAAGATCAGTCTTAAACTTGAAGGAGCTCCATCTAATGTCAGAGAATGAGATTTAAACAGATACTTATTATTTATATAGTAAATACAGCAATAGATATGTACAGGGGGACATTAGGCTACAGTGGGAGGGGAGGTGTGTGGTCAGGCTAGTAGGCAATTAAGTAGGCAAAAAAGAAAAGGGCTTTCCACATAGAGGAACCTGCATTAAAAAAGGATATTACACAATAGTAGAATATTGCTAGAGCAGAAGATGACTAAAAATGTATGCAAGAGTGGGTTATGCAAGTTAAGGACCATAGACTTTATTCTATAGGCAATGAGAAGCCATCAAAGGGTTTTCTTTCAGCACTTTAAACTGTCATTCTGTTGTTTTCTGGCTGCCAGTGTTTCTGATGAGAAGCCAGCTGTAATTCTTAGCATATGTCTTTTCCTCTGACTGCTTTTAAGATTTTGTTTCTTTATCTTTGTTTATCAGCAGTTGCACTATGCTTCTAGGTGTGGTTTTCTTTGCATTTATGCTGCTGGAGTTTCATTTGTTTCCCTGGATCTGTGGATTGCCAGTTGTTGTTGTTTCCTTTAATCAAATTTAGAAAACTTTTGGCCAATGTTCTTCACATATTTTTTTCTGCCCCATTCTCTCTCTCTTCTGTGACTACACTTACACTTATGCTAGACTTCTTAGTCCTTAGTACAGGTTACCCCAGGCTCTGTTCATTTTTTTTAATTTTTTCTTTCTGTGCTTCAATTTGGATAATTTCTATTGATAACCAGTGAGTCCTGAAAAGTCTGAATGTTAACATTTTCCCAAAAGTACAGACATCCTACAAATGACTGTGAGTTCCTTGGGAGTATACTTGAAGGCATATTAGTCAAGAGAAGAGAAATGATTACAACAGAGAATTTAGTATTGGGTATTGATGAACTGGAAAAACAAAAAGGGAACACTGAAGTAGCCCAATGTGATAACTGTACCCTAGGAGGAGTGAAAAAGAGAAATCAAGGTTGAACCATCAGGTCTCAGGAGCTCAGAAGAATGACCTAGCTGCCTGTAGCTCGTACCCCTGGGAGGATGCTGTCCAGCTGGTCTCACTACTACTGAGAAGGATACGATCTGGCTGAGTAGGGGATGGAGGAGTGACAAAAGAAGCTCAAGGCTGAGATCAATTGCTGTTTCTTGGGCACAGGGCTGCTAGTTATTCTTGAGGTAACAATGACAGAAACTTCAAGCAAACAGAAAGGAGGGTGTCTTTTTCCCACTTCTCCTGTCTTCCAGTCTCCCTCTAATGCCCTTTATTGGTGGACTCTAGTGAGACACCATCTGGCATAGGAAAAAAATGTAGTTTGCAGGGTCTGAGCCATAGGATCACAGAGGAAAGTATAGATGGGTGAATTTGAAGTTAAGATAGCTCAAAAAAAATTGTTTAATAGCCAGTACCATATCAACATTTGCTTGTGCTAAATCAGTAAAAATGTCCGAAATTAGACCCAAATTAATGCTACTTTATATGCTTTTACACTGTTAGGTTCTTTTGAAAAGAATCTCAGGACAATGTGTTGTATCAGTTTTCTGTTATACTATGATTATTGTTAGTGTCTTTTTCAGAGCTAAGGAGTACCTTTACTGCAGCTCACACTTGTACTTGCTACAAAATCAAAAACAAGGGCAGATTTGGAGATCTGCATAACTAAGGTAGACCCTCCCCAGCATTAGGTCCCCCACTATCAGGCACAAAATAGCATAGACTAAGTAGAACTAGCAATAATCCAGTCTTCTCCCTATCTCCATATCCTATGCTTTGCCTAATGTGGCCATAGCATGGGCCACATTTCCAATTTCCTGTTCTAAGAGGACAAACCACCACTGTCATTGAAAAACCACTCCTTTTCTTTGTTCCCTCTTTCTTACCTCAACTCAAGCTCCCTCACCCAGCCCAATCACCTCTTGTTTTCTAACACAAATAGATGACAAAACATAGCTCAGTATTCAGCATTTCACCTTATAGATTTTTGAATATTGAAGGATCTTTGTTGAACATTTATAGAACATTGAGCATGAACATTTTTCTAATTTTTGAACCTTAGGACCATAAATGTTCCATCTGAAAGGGGTGATTTCTTCAAGTCTTATGTTCTTTAGTTATTAAAGTTAACATTCTCTACCACAATTACCTTTTATTATTAACAGTGAAGATACCAAGTTCATGATATTTCACATAATTTAATATTTGTTTTTTAATAGATTAGATTAGAATAAATTTTTCTACATCTGCATATATTAATCATATATAGCATTCTGTCAGTTATACAACACAAAAACTTTGATAGGTGAACATTAAATGGCAGTGTACCTATTAATAACTCAACATTAACAAGATCATAATCAAATATTCATTTAATGGGAGAGTCTAGTATTTCCTGATAATCCTGACTTCTTAAATTCCTCCAGTAAAGTTTATAGCCAGCAAGGACAAAAACACTAATCATAATGATTATCCCTCCAAAGACATCGTAGACACTAGGAAATATATGTAACACTAGAAGCTGCAAGACCATAGCTACCACAATCTCCAGATGTTGTACTGTGCTGACCAAAGCTGGATGGAATTTGTCCAAGGCATAATACACTCCTAAGAATGCTGCAGTAGAACAAACGCATATAGCAATGAGATAACTCCAGGTTTCTCCATCTAATGGGATGATGGGTTCTTGAAGAACAAACATAGTAGATACTCCCCAGACTGTCCCAGTCCAACCAAAGGTAAACAGTGCAGTCCACATGCTGATCTTCTCCTTAATGGATCTGTATACTATCATGGAAAGAGCAGTGGTCAGTCCAGCCATCACAGTCATAGTGTACCCAAAGGCTTCTTTCCAGGCATTTAACAAAGAATTGTCTTCATCAACAATGTTGGGGATCATGACAAGACAAACACCTAAGATGCTGCAAACAACTGTAGCCATGTCAACATAAGCCATTTTCTCATCTACAAGTAAAAAAGCCAAAATGGCACTAAAGACTGTGGTTGTGGCTCTCCACATAGTGGTCCCATTGCTGGGAGGAACTATTGAAAATGATGTATAAGCACAGGTGATAGAGATGACATTGCATACACCATAGAAGAAGAGTCGCAATCTGTATCCACTGGGTCCAAAGGGGGCCTCCTGGTAGTAACACACAACTAACACAGATAAGACCTGCAAAACAGAACGGATAAAAATCAGTTCTAGAGATGGAACTTTAGAACGATCAGAAACAAGCCTAGTGATAAGAGCTACACATCCATGAGCCAAAGCAGATCCAAACAGCACTATCCACATTTTTCTGGATTGAAAAATATTTTTTTCTGCAAAGCTTTGGAATTGTCCAATCTCATTGGTCATGGGGTCTTCTGTTAGTGGAGGTCGAGTATCCGTTGTTCCAAAGAAAGTTCTTCCTTTTCTTTTCATTTCACTCAGCAGGCCTTTCTTTGGATTTTCTTCCATAAAATTTCCATAGTCTTCATTGATTTCTTCATATCCATCATCCCCTGGCTGAGGATAATGAGAAGTATATTTCACCATCACCGTGTTGGGATGTATTTTCACCCGTTTTTTAACTGGATATTTTTTGGAGGGAGAAGTATCCATTTCTTCAGATAATCAATTCTATTTAAGAAGGAAAAAAAAGACAAATGTATTTGTTCAATCAGATGAAGTATAGTTCTAATTTCTATTATAGTCATATGTACTAATTTAAAAATAGAAAGTAGAGGTTGTAACAAGAGTTTTTTAAAAAAGGAATAGGAAGAGATCATCTGGTAATATGCCTTATCAGATGTATGTGGCCCAATGGAATTGTCTATCCTATTTTCACTCTCATCTTGCTTCTGTCCCATTTCTCATTCTGCTTTTTCTTTGTCTCATTCAGCTCTATTTCCTTTCTTTACATCACAAACAACTGACATTTTTCCATTTTTTCATTCCTACCTCTCTACCTATCCAGGAAGAAAAACAGAAAAAATAAATAACAATTTAGATCAAACCTTTCCTTCTCATTGTGTCCATTTGTCTATATTATAAACTCTAAGTGGATAAGTCCAAATTATTTTGCATAATCACTTCTGTATGATACCAAAACTTGCCTCATATTACAAATTATAGTGATTTTTTAAAAACATTTATTCTGGCTTCCCATACATCTTCAGATATATAGATACACTGAAATTAGAAAATAAGGTGGACTTAGTGACATTCATGCATTGTTGCTATGTACAGATTTTCTTATGAGCAACTGGGCAATATGTGTAAGATTTTAACTGAAACTACCCTTTAATTCAGCAGTATCATATCTAAGATTTTACCCTAAAGAGATGATCACAATATGCTTTTTACTTTACGTGTTTTAAGAAAGGAAAAAATAAGAATACATATCTGTATTTGCTTATATAACATAAAAAGTATAACATAAAGGAATTATGGAAAGATATAAAGGTAACTCATAATCATTGGAGTGGGACAGGGAACAAGAATGGAAGAAAATATTTTTACTCTATACTTTTAATGTATTTTTTGAATCATGATAATTGTTTAAAACTTAAATTACAAACTAAAAAAAAGTTAATCTGTTATTGATAAAAAGAGAGCATACACAAAAGTGTGAGAAAAATGTATGAATGGGAGAGTTCATTGTAGCTTACTAGAATGACCCTTCATACAATGGAATACTATGCTATGCATCCATTGAAAATGACAACACAGGGTCGGGAGGGTGTAGCTGTGTAGTAGAGCACATGCTTAGCATGCACCAAGTCCTGGGTTCAATCCCTAGTCCCTCCATTTAAAAAAAAAAGTAAATAAATAAACCTGATTACCTCCTGCCAAAACAAAAGCAAAAATAAATAAATAAATAAATAAATAAATAAATAAATAAATAAATAAGGGGGGAAGTGGGTGGGAGGGGATAAAATGAGAGTTAGAGATTTGCAGATACTAACTGATATATATAGACTAGATAAACAAGTTTATGCTGTATGGCACAGGAAACTATATTCAATATCTTGTAGTAACTTATGGAGAAAAATATGCAAACAAATATATGTATGTTCGTGTATAACTGAAGCATTGTGCTGTACAACAGAAATCGACACAACATTGTAAACTGACTATACTTCAATAAATATATATATATATATATAGTAACACAGATCTTTACTGACATAGAAAGATGTCCATGACATCTAGCTGAGTGGGAAAAATGTTAAGGTTGTTGTAAGAATTAAATGAAATAATGCATATAAAGGATTTGCGACAGTGCTGGTGTATAGTAAACTCTCAGTGAATATTAATAACTCCAGCTTCTTTTCACCTATAATTAACTCTTTTGAAACACTGGGTGTCTTCTACAATGTTATTCTTTCTTTGAGATCTGTATTTATTATTCAGTTCTCTTTAGTTCTCTCCTCTCTCCCCAAGAAAAATTTCTAATTTCCTTCCCAATGATTTCTCCCCTCCCCCCTAAAAAATTAAAATTAAAAAAAAAAAGAGGAAACTTTTTTTTTGGTCCTCATAACGTATTTCCCGTTCCTTGCCAAAAACTCACCAGTTCCAGGATCTTAAACCATGGTCCAGAAATCAAATCCCATTTTTGTTCTTTAATACCATCTGGGTAAGCCAACTGTTCCATGCCTGTTTACTCCTTTCTCTTCTAAATGACACCACTGTCAGTTTGAAGAGTCATTTGAAAAAACACCACCTGTGCCTCCAAGCCTTTCAGATCCTACCACCTCCCACTTGTAGTCCTTTATGCATCTTGTATCAGGCTAATCTGGATGCTCCCTTTTTTAAACTTTTATCAGGATATTTTCCCTTCACATCATGACCTTACCTTCACTAATAGTCTTGATCTTCCAAATAGATTTTCCTTCCCTAACTCCCTCACCTATGTTTGAAATACCACCATTTTTCTAGTTCCCCAAGCTAGAAACCAAGAAATACTCTGAATTAGCCTTTTTGTTATCACACTTTTATTTGGTCATCAATCTTACTGTTTTTGTCTTTGAAATATTTCTCAGATTTTTCATTTCTCCTCCAATTCCATTTTACCTTTGTGATTCTGGATCAAGTTTTTGTGAATTCCCATCTAGAATATTGCAACAGCATCCTAACTAGCCCCCCTTGAATCCCAGTTCTTCTCCCCTAAAATCCAACTATACATACCACTATATATATACACACACACACACACACACCACCACTGTCACTTAATGCCTTTAAAAGATTCAGAACAAAACAAAAAATTCCCTCAAGCTTTCCCCACCCAAGAACCTACAAGATTTCCTATTGATGACTTCATTGAATCTCAGATCCTCTGCCTAGCTCTCAAGACCTTTCCTAGTCTAGCCCATATCAATACTTAGCTCCTTAACACACATACTTTGTTCTGATCAATCCAGTGTCCTCCCTGTCCCCACTCTCCACATGTACATATCACTTCTCTAAGCCTTTATTCTCACTAGCTTACCCTCTGCTCCAACTTTCTAAACATTCCTCATCTTTTAAGAAGGCCCAGTCCAAATTCTGCCTTTTAGAAACAAGCCTTCCCTGACCACTCTAGCCACTTATTTTTTTCTTCCT